CAACAGTGGCCCCAGGCAGGGTGTAGTCTCCCTGCTTGGCTTGCCCAGTGTACTAGAGAGCACCTACTTCTGACCCAGTTACACCACCTGCACACATGCAGCGCATATGGCCCCAGTAATAAATGGCCACGTGCACTGCTGGCCTCCCCATATGACCTTGCATAAGCTCTGGGGAACACAAACACCTTTGCACTGGGAAGTGACCCATCTAAATTACTTGGGAAATGATGTGTTCCGTTCTCTTTTTGATGGCTAAGAAAATAATGGTGATTTTTCATTAAAATTCATCAGGGACCCTTTAGCAAGTCTCTGGTCGCTTCTCTCAATCCCTACCTGCAGTCTATTTCTGGAAGGCCACTTATTTTTAGTGCCGCTTCCCTTTCTCTGGTTAGTGTATCTAAACCAACTTTGTTTTAAGACACTCATAGACTCATCTCCATCTCCTAAAAAATGTAAGGTTTACTTGTGTTTCAGCTATGACTGGGGTGGGCTGGGGTGGCTTCTCATTGTTTTTGTTTTTATCTTCCTTGGAACAAATTCTTATCATGCATTTCTAGTCTCTTGCTATCAGAGTTCAAGTTTTCATCTCCTCTTTCACTCCAATTCTTAGCATATTATTGACTTTTTCCCATTTTTATCATTCTTTAACTACATCTTTAAATCTTTCCAACTGGCTTCAGGTCAATGTCTTTTCCATATGATTCTGCATAGCTTTAATAATCATCACAAGTATTCTTTGATTTATAATAGTGTCCCTGAAATGCCTAGTTTTCTTATATTGGCTGCAGGAGAAATTCATTTATCATCATAATTATTGATGGTATAGGGAAAAGGAAACTTTATTTTTATTGTTACCAGGATCCCCATTTGGACTGAGTTGCAAGGTAAACCTAGAACCTACATTTCCTGGTTGCTGAAGTCTACAGCCATCCCCTTGGCTGTATTTCCTTCAGTTAACTAACTTAGAGACTCATTGTGTGAACTAAACCTTTTCCATATTTGTGCACATAAATATTTTCTCATGCATTGCTCATCTATGCCCTGAAGAACCAGACTGGGCACGTGCCAATGTGGACCTTATCTAACTCACAAGCACTGACAGTGTCCTATTTCCTAAACAATAGGTTATACATATGCACTGGTAAGTTGTGGTCACATATATTTCTAAGTATATATTTACATTGGCAAATTGTAAATATAATTGTAAATGTAATAGGCAATGATAATAAATAATAAACAATAATACAAAGCAAGAACTGTAGAAACTGGTATAAGTTGGTGGGCCTTCTCTCTCCTTGAGGCCTGAGTAGACTTCTCTAGCTAGGGGGACCTTTGGGGACCAAATTCTTCCACACACTCTGAGAAGATGGGATTCTCCTCCAACAGTGGAAGCCTTTAGAGCTGTGGGTTCCCTGATGCAGGGGACAAGATGACGTAGTCAAAGCAAAGACCTTTCCCAAACCTGGTTTTCCAAAGGTTCCAGTGAGCCTAAAGTATCAGGACCTAGTCAGTGGAAAGGAATCATTTTATCAACTCCTTTTCCATGTTTGTTTAGAAGACACTGCCAGAAGTAATTGAGGTGCTAATAAATCTGGAGAAAATTATCCGGAATCTCCAGTCTCCACCCAATTCCTGTCCAATCCTCCCTCCTAAACATTCCAGTCATCTCAGAGAGGGTGCCTGACCAGGCAAACCACATCTGAGAATGGGCTGGTCTCATTTTCACATTATTCTCCAGAATCTTTACTTCAGTCAGAACATCAATTTCAAATAACAGAGCATCAGGTTGGTAAATTAAAATAATCATGAATCTCAAAATGCCAAAGGACTTGGACAGCTGGTCAAAAGATACAACATTTGCAATGGGTTTTCTCCCCAAGGTCCAAGGCCCCTTTAAAAACAGAGTGATGGCCAGCATTTGTTCCATTTTCCCAAAACTCACCTTTCAGGTTTTTCAACACTGCTGGAGCCAAGCCCCTCACCAGACAGAAGCAAACCCAAAGTCTGATGACTGAAAACTGAAATATATGCTTGTCACGGACAGCAAAGTATAACAGCTAGTTATGCCTTTCAAACTACTTACTGCTCACGTAGAAGAGACTAGAACTTTGAGTGAAACATCCAAATAAAGCGAGGAGCTGCAGTATGCGTAAGTCAAGCTACGCTGATGCTGGAGGGAGGCACATTCCAGGGAATTGCTTACTTATCAATCCTCTATTGCAAAATCAGGATCAGAGGATGGTTTCACCAATTTCTAGAGAGCTATTGTATTTTAGCCCTCATCTTATTTAAAGGGCATTTCCCTGACCTCTACTTCACTCTATACACAAAAACTACTTTGACATAATCAACTCTACGAACCATAAAAGTATCGTCTAGAAGAAAACAGGTCACTATGAACATAGGCATTGAAAACTCTGTCACTGAACTGATAAAAAGGACTCAAAAGAAAATAAATCAATAAATTGGATTTTATCAAAAAACTGTTATCTGCTTATCAAGAGATACCATTAGGAAAATGGAAAGGAAAACCACAAGAACACTCTACAACCCCTAGAATGCCTAAGCACAAAAAAACCTAGCAAACCAAATGTTGGGAACGATTTAGAATTTGTACGCACTGCTTGTGGGAAAGTAAAATGATACCAACAACACTTTGGAAAACCATTTGGCACTCTGGTCAAGAAAATTCATAAACTCACCATGGTGAAAAAAAAACAGGAAGCAACTGAAATGTCCATTAAGAAGTGAATGAATAAACAATATCATATATTTAAGTAATGAATACTGATTTTTATCAGCAATAAAAAGGAATGCACTATTGCAAAACTTGGGTGAATATTTAAAGAGTGATGCTCTGCCAAAGACTCCAGACGCAAAACTGTGATTCCATTAATGTATGTAAAGTCCTAAAACCAGCAGAACTACTCTGCTGTGATGGAAACTGGATAAGAGTTTGCCCAGGTAGGAGACAGGGGAGGAACCGACTGTAGTAGGGCACGAGAGAACTTTCTGGAATGATGGAATATCCTATATCTTGATGAGACATAGATACATGGGTGTGCACCTTTATAAATGCTCAAACGTAAAATCCATACTTCATATTCTATGTAAATTCTACTTCAAGCAAAACAAAAACAAAAACAAACCCCATTCTATTCCACCTCCCCATCCCCTACTGCTTAAAAGCATTTCACTGTGTGGGACTCTATGCAGCCCTGGACTTTTCTTACTGTTGGAAGCACTAAGGGTTTTCCAAATTCTACATGGCACGATGTGAAATCAGAACAGCATCTCTCTAACTGGGTCTGTCCTAGAAGATTTAGAACAGAAACTGTGCCCACAAATCAAAGCTAGGACAAACTAACAAACTTGGGAAGTCTGGCCACATGTAACATTCTTCGCAATAATACAGAGAGAATCAGAGTTACCTGCGCCTTTCGTGTTCTGAGTTTATTTCTCTCTAGAACTGAGTCCAGTTTCCTGCCTTCAGATCCAACTCCTGCTCCTTCCTGATGTCCCCTGCTGGGAGTCCCTGTCACAATACCCCTCCCTCTCCTTGGAGTCTGGAGTCCTTCAGAACTGAGCTGTCAAGAGCAATGGCTTTATACACTAAAGCCCACCCCCTTCTGAGGGCTTGCAACACCTCTTCCGCAGCCTCCCTCTTCTGGAATCTCATTAGAAAAAAAAAAATAGAGAAACAGATCTTTGTGAAAGAAACACAGACGGAGGTAAACATACCAAAAACATTTTTTTCCTGAATGTTAGAATTAAAATAATCTAGTTTTTTCTCAAAGTTTGTATTAAGGGACTTAGAATCTCAGAAAACTGGAAAGTAGTCCTATTACCTACCAACCACTCATAAGCCCCCTCTCCACAAAACAAAACAAAACAAAACAAAAACAAAACACAAACAACAACAATAACAACAAACCATGACAAAAGCAAACACTAGAGAACCTTTGCTGAAACTTCAAAAAGTTTGAATTAGGTCTACATATTCAACACGCTGGCCAGAATAGTTCTCCTTTTGGTCAAAACCACCACAAGAGTAGATACAAGATCTTTAAAACACTTCAGATTCCATTTTGTCATCTATGGCATCATTCTTTTTGGCTGGTGTGAAACATTTGCTGATCAATTAATCACCTTTTCTAGGCTGTTTCTTCTCTGTATGTCTTTGATTAGATCGATCTAGCCTCAGGTGTGGCTCAAGGAATAAAACCAGTAGACAGCTTATAGGGAAAGTCAACTGACCAAGTCTAGCCACTGAAATGTCATTCATGTAGGTAACTAGTCCAATGCAAGGGGTGTGTGGACTAAGGCAGGAAAACATTTGTGCTTCAGGGAAAAAAAACCTGCATTCTTTGAGCTATTTTACAACTATATAAATTGTAGTGACCAATGGCAATGTGAAAGAATTCTTGTCTACAGACATGCAAAGGAATTCTATCCAATGAGGGGGCATCCCTGTGCCCCCACCCCCACAGAAGACCAGTTTTACCTCTATTTCAATATTCCTGATCTATAAATATACCCATTCTTTGGGTTCTCCTTTGACCAGGTTGTAATGGCCTTACCAGTTTCCTCATTGATGAGTTAACAAGCCCTCTAACACATGATCATATTTATATCTGTGTGTCCATCATCACTTTATCTTTTCCCCAAAATCATCCTTTAATACTTGTTATCATTTGTCATGTCTCTAGCCTAGCCAAATGGCTTCCAATTTATTCCTCTGAACTTAAATGACTTGTCAATAGTTGTTAATGACTGAATATGCTATTTAAAATTTTGACATCTTACTGCAGACTCTCCCAGCTTTAGGCTCCCCCCACCCCCGCCTCTCTTCAGGTTTGAGTGTGTGGTGTCCAGTGTGGCTTGGTGGAAAGAATGAAACTTTGGAGTTGGAAGCTTCAATTCCTTCTAGTCCTACCCCGATTGCAGCAAGTAGCTAACCTCCTGAATTTGGCTCATAAAATGTGGATAACCGTACCCACCTCACAAAGTTGTCTCAGGAACTGCTCAATAGTAGTTGCTCAATAAAGCTTCTTTCCCATCCGTGTCCTGCAAGCACATGTAGTAAATTCAACCAGAATGAATACAGCTGGGCACTCATAGTTCAGAGAGGGTCACTTCAGAAAAAGCACACGGTAAATAATTTCATCTAAATTCATGTGACTATTTATCTTTGAATTACAATTACCATTACCCAACTTTGAGAAACCACTGATGATCTCTGACCAATAATGACTGAGCAAACCTCGTATTTTTGACCATTTCTGCCCCTTCTAAGGTAGTATGAAGAAAAGCATATTCGAAAGTTAGTTATGTTTGGGTCTATTTAGAATATGTACCTTCATAAAAACACAGCTTTTTGCCTTAGGAGATACAAATGTGTTCCATCCAGTCTTGGTAGTGGCAAAACAGCTCAGTACGAGTATTTGTAGAAAATATTTTCTTCGCCCTTTACAAAGTTTAAGCACTCCACATCCTCACATGTTTTGCACATTGACAGCAGCAGCAGTGATTTGCCAAATAACTGTTCTACGTGTTATTTGATGAATTAGGTTTCCTCTCCAGAAATATCACTGTAAGGTACGGCTGTGTTTTCCTTTATTTTTATTTATTTTTATTTTTTTGTGTTTTCCTTTAATCCCAATTAAGGGAGGCCTCAGTCTCCCAGGCCTTTTCACTTCAAAGTCCCTTCTCTTTTTCCCCACGGGGGCCCTTCTTCCTTCCATTCTTGTTTTTGTTTGTTTGTTTTTATTGAAGTTCGATTTGCCAACATATAACACCCAGTGCTCATCCCACCCAGTGCCCTCCTCAGTGCTGTCACCAAGTTACACCCCCCCACCTCCCCTTCCACAACCCTTTGTGTTTCCCAGAGTTAGGAGTCTCTCACGGTTTGTCTCCTTCTCTAATTTCCCCCCACTCAGTTCCTCTCCCTTCCCTTATAATCCTTTTCACTATTTCTTATATTCCCGGTATGAGTGTAACCGTATGATGATTGTCCTTCTCCCATGGACTTACTTCTTGGATTGGGATTTAGAACCCGGGCCCAAGCTTCTTTTCAGTTGTGATCTGTACACTTGGGCGTCACCAAGGGGGATGCTGGCCCTTTACCAGAGTCGTGGTCTCATTTACTCGGCTTTGCAGATGGCTGAGAGCAAGAGTCTCCCCAGTTTAGGGGGGCGAGCCTCACCCCGGCAGGCGGGAGAGCGCAGGGGCCGCAGCGCCAGGCCGCCCGCCCCGGGGCGCGCGATGGAATCCAGGCGGGTCCCGACCCGCCCGCTGCCGCGCAGAGCGCGCCCCGCCCGCGCAGCCCAACCGGGAGACGGGGGAGGGCGGGGAGGAGGGGTGGGGTGGGGGTGGGGTGGGGGTCGGGGTGTTCCTGTCGGACCTCGCCCCCCGCAGCTAGTCTTACCTAGAGGAGGGGGTATCTGCTCGCCGGGTCGCTCACCGGGGAGAACAGGTGCAGCCCGCCACTGAAGGTAGCCGCGCGCACCTGGCCCCGAGGCCCCGCCCCACCGATTTGCATATGCTAATCACCGGCCTCCCGAACCTTTAGCACCTTTAACACAACCAGGTCCGTGGGCCGACCGGGTAAGGTACCCTGTGTACCGCACCCGAAAGGAGCAACCAAAAGTAATAACCTGATATCTCAATGTGATGAAGCAGGATGGACCGAATATAGTGTGCATCTATCTATGAATATGTCCTTGCCCATAAGTCCATTTCCTTTTCCCAAAAACTTGCGAGAGAGGTACAGTCAAAAAGCCCATTTTGCACTGAAGAAGGTGGGTCAGAAGTAAACGAAGTATGGTTTTTGTTGGGGCATCCTGGCTCCAGAGTTAATGTGCACAGTCACTGTGATTTTATTTTATTTTATTTTATTTTATTTTATTTTATTTTATTTTATTTTATTTTATTTTATTTTATTTTATTTATTTATTTTATTTATTTTATTTTATTTTGTTTTACTTTATTTTATTTTATTTCATTTCATTTCATTTTTTTATAAATTTATTTTTTATTGGTGTTCAATTTGCCAACATATAGAATAACATTTTCATTTCATTTCATTTCATTTCATTCTATTTTATTTTTAAGGTTGTGAGGTGGCGTGGTTTTCTTGCGCTTTGAGAATTTTCCAACACAAATAGTTCCAATATTAAATAGTTTTTGTTAAGCGGAGGTTGTTAAACAAAAAAGCGTTATTAAGTTCTCGTGGATTAAAATGGAAAAAAAAAAACCCACCAAAATCCAATCTTTTTTTGGTTATCTGTTGGTAGAAATGGAAAACCCTCCCCAAAGATAAATACTGTTTGGTTTCTAAGGACTATGACTGGAACTGAGACTGATTCAAAGCTCCCCCACTGTGTTTTGGATTACTGTCCCGTTGGCTTGGGTTTTCTATTTTCACCTTCCTGTGATTTGCAGAAAATCAATTTAGAAATTACTAAGCTACTCACTGGGTGGGAGGACCCTGCTCATTGTGCAAGAGTGCCTTTGTACATTGACTGTCGGGTCCTCCCAGAGAACACCAGAATTTCTTAAAGGCCCAGGGTGTCACAATTTCCTGCATAACCTCTTGCCAAGAGAGGACCTCATTTTGGACCTTGAGTTTACGTCTGCGTTTCTTTGATAGCCCTTGGCCATAGTCTAAGTCAGAGAGAGATGATGAGGAATTCATTCATTGGAAGGAATGTAAATACATTGCTGATTAGGTGGTGAGGTCTGGATTTAGTTGTGTATTATTAGCCAGTGGTGGGAGGGGTATGGATGAGGTTATAGATGATAAGAGATTGGCCATGTTGATTATTGTTGGCTTGGGTGATGGTTCTTAGGAATTTATTGTACTATATTATCCACTTCCGTTTATATTTGGCATGTTCCATAATAAAAAAAAGTTTGCAAAATTATTTATTTATTAAGAAGCTATTCAGGGGTGCCTCAGTCAGTTAAACATCTGGCTTCAGCTGAGATCATGATCTCAGGGTCCTGGGATTGAGCTCCATGTCAAGCTCCCTGCTCAGAGGAGAGTCTGCTTGTCCCTCTCCCTCTGCTTCCCTCCCCTGCTCATAGTCTCTCCCTTTTCTTAAATAAATAAATAAATAAATAAATAAATAAATAAATAAATAAATCCTTCTTAAAAAAGGAAGCTATTTATTGAGTGTGTGTGTATATATATATATATATATATATATATATATATATATATATATTTGAGTGTATATTATGTTCTAGGCACTTGAGATACTGCCAGCAAACAAGAGAGTGAATGAGAAATCTTTGCTTTGTGGAATGCACATTTCAGTTTTGTGTGGGGTGAGGCAGAGGGGCACACCATGCAGTAAACATGATAAATTCCTGAATTTTATGGTATGTTAGAAAGTGTTAGGTGTTGGAAAATTAAAAAAAAATAGAGGAGAGATTAGATGAGGACACAGGATGATGGAGGAGAGGGCTAAGGTCTGAGCACTGGGGTGTCCATGTCAGGCAAGGCCACATACAGGATGTGAGGGGGTCCCCAGGAGGAGGATGAAAAGCTGAGCGATGAAAGTTTACTACGGAGGGAGGGTGCTCAGTTGTGTCAAATGCCACTTGGAGCCAGGGAAAAACCCCATGGAAAGTGTCAACCATTCACTTGGTTTTTTTACCCCGCGAATGAATTAAGAGACTCTTATGTTGGTGTTCACCCAAAGTGGCTGCAGGGATATACACACAGATCTACTTGAATCGGTGACACAGGAGGTGGAGAAAGTGTGACCACAGAAACCTGATATAGGGTCCTATTTTGTAATGGACTTTCTCTCTAGACATCAATTCCTTGAAGGCAAAGACTTGTTTTTCTTCAGACCTGTGGCAAGATACCTGGCCTAACGGCAGCACTTACACATGTGCTGAATGAATGAATGAGTAAAATGTACGCAGAGCAGTGGGGTGAAGCACGCCCTGCCATGTGGGGCTGTCCAACACGTACACCCAGAACTCGGTTGCAGACAGATAGCAGGAAGCAGCTGCAGGAGAGCACAGGAATTTCCCTCAATGACACTGATGGCCAAAATTTCAGGTTCTACCCCCCCCCCCCTAGATTTCTCTCTTTATTGTAAAACCCATTATAGGACAGTGTAGGACCAGTCATCCACTAATTGAAACCTATCCCAAGTCTTTAAATATTACCCTTTGTCTTCTGCTCCATTGGCCTCAGTCATGGGACCGTACGCATCTTATGGAAAGAGACACATTAGAATAATGCGAATAATTTTTTTTTATTAAGGAAGAGTTGCTTTTTTGTTTGTTTGTTTGTTTGTTTGTTTGTTTGTTTTTACAGAGTCATAGAAATGGGAAGAAGTTAGGGAGTGTACAATAGAAGATTTCATCATAAGTAATTTTTTAAAAATATTTTATTTATTCATTCTTGAGAGACAGAGAGAGAGAGAGAAAGAGAGAGAGGCAGAGACACAGGCAAAGGGAGAAGCATCTCCTGGGACTCCATCCCAGGACCCCAGGATCACACCCTGGGCTAAAGGTGGCACTAAACCACTGAGCCACCCGGGCTACCCCATAAGTAATTTTTTTTAAGAAAATGAAATATTAACCCTCATGATTGTACTTTATCAAGCTTATAATGTAAAAAGATGTGAGACCAGGGTGACCGCCTTCCCACTCTCTAAGGCTGATGCTGTACCGTGGTGGTTTATCTTTCCTCCAAACGGAGACAAGATTTCAAAGATGACCGAGAAGAGTTACCTGCTTGACCTTACCTTCTGGAAAATATAGAGAGAGGAAACTGGTGAAATCACGTGAAAGGGAAAGATCCAGCCCTGCAACTTCAGAGCCCAAGGACAGAGTGAGCAGCTCTGAGACATCAAAGCACATAGAACAGGAGCAAGCAGGCAGGCGGGATGTTGGGAAGCCTTACCCAGTGCTCTGCAAGGAGCCCCCCAACAACTCTGGCCCTGGAGGCAGAGCTGAGGGGCCGCCTAGGAGCAGCACTGCTTCTTGCAGCAGCAATTCTGCTGGCAGCACTTCTGCTGGCAGCACTTCCCGCAGCCGCACCCACACGAGCTGCACCCGCACGAGCTGCACCCGCAGGAGCGGCGGCAGCAGCAGACCACGGGGACACTGCAGCAGCCCCCACAGCAGCCGCAGCAGCAGGGGCAGCAGGACGAGCAGCAGCCCACCCGGTAGCACCTGCAGGTGGTACAGCTGCCCCCGCAGCCCCCGCAGCCTCCGCAGCTACCACAGCCTCCGCAGCCACCGCAGCCTCCGCAGCCTCCGCAGCCACTGCTGCAGCCTCCGCAGCCTCCACAGCCACAGCACCCCATGGTGTCAGTAGAGAGGACTCAGGACAGGTGAGGAGGGCGATCAGGAGAGGTCGAGGGGGGTCTGATGATGCCCTTTGCTTCACGGACCCTTATATACTCCATAGGGGGCCTGACCTGGGGCACGTGGTCACTTCCCTGTTGTGGTTTCCACCAGCTTCCTGGGCAGAATTTCACAACACCCTGAATGCATTTCCTCACTGAATTCCTTTGACTTCACGGAATTGCCTGTTTTAGCATTTACCTCTTCCCCAAGTTGTGCTTCTAATAAAACAGAGTGTGTCTAAAACGCTTAATCTTGGTTGCATCTAGCAGCCTTCCAGGGCAAGGAGGGGGTTGCACAGGAGTCTCACTTGGATGATGGAAGCCCACCCGGTCTGTGAGCATCAGGATCCCTTCGCACCGAGTGATCTGATCGTCTTTCCCTTGGTTACTGGCAAACCTTTCTCTGCTTGCAGATAATCTTTGCTGAATGCGGGGGGAGATGGAATCCCACCTGGGGAAGCTAAGCACCCCCATTTTCCTCTTTTCACACATTATCAAGTGCTGAGCTAGAAAGTCCAAAACTTTTCTCATTGAGTTTCAGATTCACTGTGTCCTTGACTCATGGGTCAAAATATGGGAAAGTTGCTTGGAGAGAGATTGCTCTGGGGTTGGAGGGCTTGTAAGGATGTATTCCAAAATGAGCTTCCCATGCTGGCTCATGTCTCCCTGTATTCTGCACTCATGGGGTAGTGGATGGAGCCAAGTTGGCTCCAAGGCTCAGAGAAAGCCATGGTCTCTCCATGCCTCAGTTTCCTTAGTTTAGGTTAAGTCATGTCTATTTTTTTTTTAAGTAAACTATAGTTTTTAGTTTTAGGATCACAACACATCTGATCTGAAAGTTCTGAGATTTCCCATATACTCTGTGTTCACTACAGGGCCTCCCCCGCCATCAGCATCCCACCCCAGAGTGGGACAGTTGTCACAATGGAGGAACCTAACTCAACATGCCATTATCTCTGGAAGTCCACCGTTGACTGCAAGCTCACTTTTGGTGTTACAAATTCCTTGAGTTTTGGTAAATATATAATGACAGGTAACCACTATTATAGTGTCATACAGAGCAGTGTTCTGCGGATTTGTCCCTTTTTCCCCACTAATCTCTGTCTCCAGTTTTGCCTTTTCCAGAATGTCTTATAATTGAAATAATTCACATTTGATTTGAAAAAATATGCAGTTGACCCTTGAAAAATTCAGTGGTTTCATCCATGATGAAATCCATTGTTTCATTTATATGTGGAATTTCTTTTCGATAAATACAGTATAGTTGTGTAAATGTATTTTCTGTGCCTTATGATTTTCTAAATAGCATTTTTTTCTCTAGCTTAAAGTAAGAACATAGTATATAATATATATATATTTATATATATGCTAACATATAAAATGTGTTATTGATGTTTTATGCTATCAGTAAGGCTTCTAGTCAACAGTAGACTATTAGTAGTTACGTTTTCTGGGAGTCAAAAGTTATATTTTAAACTGTGTA